CACACACACACACACACAGCCGCCGGCTTGGGAATGAAAGCAGGAATAACGCAGACTCCAGGATCAGGACTTCTTGGATCCATCTGAGCTCTTTGTGTCTGAAATCTGTTGATAGAATCCACAATCAGACCTTCATCAGAGACCAACTACGTCATAAACAATATAAACCAACACTGGGATCAATAGTTCGGAGTTTAAAGGGACAACATCAAAAATACTGTTTAGTTTTGGGGTGCACTGTTGTCCATGAGTAGATGAACACCACGGTATCAGTGCAGTGTGAAAAGCTCGAGGCCGTTCTGTACACTACGAATATCAGAACTACGGTGTCCTGTATGGATAAACAGCGAGAATCAATTGACCCTTCCTAAGCCCCGCCCCTTTGGCTCTGTGCTCCAATAACAGTTGAGGAAGCCTCAGTCAGAACCTACGTCGATCGTTAGCTGGCTAGTTAGCTATTCACCAAGTTACATCTGATCTATCTCAAAATAATGTCCTGAGTTGTGCAGGAACACATTTTCTTGCTGCTTCACACAAAAAACAGCTGGAAATGTTTGCTTTGCATTCGCAGTTAGCGCTCCAACGTGAACAGCTCTGATATGTTTGTAGAACGACGACTGAAAACAAACCAAACTCCAAACCACAGTGTGTTTAATATTCAGGGTGAGGAGGCTTTCCGCCTTCGCTGTTTCACAGAAAACTCAGTCAGCGGAAAGTTTCATGAAACTTTTTGTTCTTCTGAAAACTCTGAAAGTCAACAGAAGTCTTTGTTTGAATCAGAGGGTTCTTTGTTCCAGCTGAGAGTCAGAAGAACTCTTTGTTCTGATAAAAACGGGCAGAATCTGGGTGAAGTTTAGTGCTCAGATGGGTTTTGTGAAGCCTGACTGGTGCTCTGCTTATTCTGACCGGCATTCGCTGAGGAAGAGGAGGAGGAGGAGGAGGAGGAGGTGGGTCTGCTGCAGGATGCTGGTCCGCCTGGTAACCAATGGCAACGCTTTAATCAAAGCTGATTTGTTAATTCTGACATTGTCTCGTCTCTCTGTTGCTTCCAAACTGGCTGGAAATGCTTGTGGAGGGGTCTGTATACTGTGTGTATATCTGTGAATATGTGTGTTTGTTTTTATGTGTGTTTTGTGTGTATTAAGTGTATTAAGTCTGTATTATGTGTGTTTTCTGTGTATTATGCTGCAGTTATGTCGTACTGTGATGGAGATGTGTTGTTGTGTCCAAACCTGCCTCCTAGAAACTTTGCTCATTTTTATCTCTATAAAATATAAAAAACCTATAAATATTAATCACCGTGATCCCCTGACTGTAAGTTTAATCATGCTTTTGTTAGACGTGGATATTGAAGGAGAACTAACAATAAGCTAGCTATTCTATATCAGTCTTCTGCTGGTTAGTTAGCTAGCTAATGTTTTGCTACAGAGCAAAACATGTGACTATATATATATCTATATATATGTCGCTATGTAGCTACTCAACATCAGTCCTTATCTAGTTAGTTTCATCTCAACGCTAATGTTAGCAAAATGCTAGAAAACTAGCGAGCTCATCGATCGTTTATGTTATATTGGTGCACAACTGAAAGCTCAAAAATAAACCATATTGGTAGTTGGTGAATTTAACCCTCATCAGTCGGGCTTTGATTTTCTGATTTTTACAGTATCATTTTAATTTCTTGGAGACAGAGTTACTCCGTCTGTCCGTCTGTCCGTTTGGGCCGCCCCGATTGAACTTGTGGTTCTAACGTCGTCTTTGGCTGTTTGTCTCAGTTTGGTTGCTTGTCTTCTCGATGAGGACGACTGTCTGTCCGACTGTCTGTCTCTCTGTTGGTAAATACCTGCAGGCTTTCATTGAATGTAACTGAAGGGGTTAATTCAGGTTTTTTAAATGGGGTTGTATGAGGGCACTTACAGTCAGTGTGTACAGCAATGTACTGCTGTAAAATGACTGCTTTTGTCAATGGAGTCTGGTGGATTTGAAGAGAGCTTTAGATACATATATAACATATAATACATATAACGGCTTCAGTTTTCGTACGAGGGTAGGATAAAGTGATGAAAATATTCTAAATAAAGCGTAAACTTATTATTTTAATACATTTTGTTGCTACCAGCTTCCACAGAATACACTGATTATGAATAAATATCTCATACAACCCCTATTCAAAAAACCAAAACTATCCCTTTATCGCCTCCTGAAAATCCACTTGTCTAATGTCTCATCTGGCTGCGGTGATGTATACGTGTACCCCAGGGTGTGTTGGTACACTGTGACATCACTATTGGGTGTGGTCAGAGGCAAAACAGACTGTTTACTGTATCTTTAAGGTGCTATGTCTGTTAACTTAAATTACAGACACTGGCATCCACTAATAATTTATAATCGTTAACTATTAATTAATATTTTTACCACCAGAGCTGATTTGGAGGGAAATCTGAACCTAAACACTAAAAGACATAACAGGAAGTGGTTGCTTACTTTGCAAACAAGACAGAACTTCACTTACATTTCAGCAGTTTTTAATTTAAAACTAAAAAAGCTTCAGGGTTGGTAACTCTCTGGTTCGCTATAATTAAGAAATAAAAAGTTTTCCAAGCACATTGACAGAAATTGGAAATATCTGATCAGCTAATCATTTAGTCAAAAAATAAATTAATAGTTTCACTCAGAATTGTGAATATCTCTTTCTTTTCTTAGTTATATATGACTGAATTTGAAGTATTGTTTTTTTTTTTTACTGTTTGTCGGACAAAACAAATAATTTTAAGAACAAATAATTCATGAAGAAAACCTTCTACATATCAATCAATAATGAAAATAATCGCAGCCCTAAATGTACTGAAGCATTGTTACGATATTTTCTTTCCCACCTTTTTATCTCGATAAAACTCAAAAATGCAAAAGCTCTAATTCTGTTTGGATCAATGTCTTGATTGATTGACACCTAGTCAAAATGGATCTCCTGGCAACTGGGACATTTAAGTAGATTTCCTCAATTTAATACACTCGAGTTTTGCTTATATAATCATTCTTGCTGAGGTGAAGAACTTGAGGAGAACTTGAGGAGACAATCTCCTCTGCTGCCCAGAAGTTCACTGATATTCAATTATGCACAGAAACGTCAGCCAGATTTCTTAACCAGCTCTGATCCTTGTTCTTGATG